AGATAGTGTCCCGAGTTCACCAAGGCAGCGTCGTGGCTGGGTGACGATTTGAACCCAGGTCCCCCGCCTGCCCCAGTTGTAGCTCAGTCCCTTAACCACTGAACCACACTTGGCTCCGCATTAAGCAACCGTCTTTTGCTTAGACTTTCCTGCAGGAGACACTTCTCTGCCTTTTCCTTCCCAATTCACAACTTTTCTCCCCAAAACAATCCCCTCTTCGCTCACCTTTTTTTATTACTATTGTTCCACTTGCAGGATCCCTTGCAGCCCTTCGGATGTTGCAATCCAAAATGGCCAAAAATTTGAGAAGGCAAAAAAAAGAGAGAAAAAGTAAGCGGAACGGAGAGAGAAGAGCCTCTCCCACCTGGCCAAGGAGAAACAGGAAAAAGAATTGAGCACACCTTGGGGGTGGGGGAGAGTGCCCGTCTAGGAAACGCCTCTCTCTATCAGTTTAACCCCTAAGAGTCCGGGTGGCTCATGGCATAAAAGCAGGAAAGGAACAAGGCAGCCCGGCCCCTATATACATGAAATGGATGCAAAAGCGATCAAACGCGGGTGGGGTTTTCTTAGATCAGGGAAACATCTGGCCCTTGAGAGAGTGTTGCATTACAGCTCCCATCCTGACCATGGACAGGAAATAAGACAGCTGCAGAGGAAGCTTGCATGAGTGTTAATGTGCTTTATTCTATTGTGGCTTTAACTTTTCTGTATGTATTACATTATGGTTGTAAAAAAATAAATTAAGTGATATTTTTATTTTTAATGTAAAGCGGTATGAGGTGTCCACCCCCCTCCCTACAATATATAAATTCTATGAAATAATATACAAAAGAAAGTAAGTGAACAAAGAAAAACTTGGTCCTGGATAGCTCAGTTGGTTACTTTGGTGCTGATAATACCAAGTTTGCAGGTTTGATCCTCATATGGGACAGCTGTATAATCCTGCATTGCAGCGGGTTGGACTAAATGACCCCCAGGCTCCCTTCCAACTCTAGAATTCTGTGATTCTCACTTTACAGGATTACAGGAAGGACAGCTACCTGCCATGATGGCTGTGATCTGCCTCCATGGTCAGAGGTAGCAATGATTCTGAATACCAGTTGCTGGAAGCCACAGCAAGAGAGAGGGCTTTGGGGCTTAGTCCCGCCTTTAGGTTTCCCCTCGGCACCTGGTTGGCCTCTGAGACCAGGATGCCATTGCGCTGACCCAGAAGTGTCTTCCTATGTCCTTATGGAATCACAGGAGTTGGATTCCAACAGCATTGCAGGTTTTTCACCAGTATGTTTACGGAAACCTTTCCAATATTTCTTTTTCTTGTTTTAAAGCTCACTTTGATCACACCTGGAATACAAGAGACTGATCCGGAACAGGTATATTGTAGAGAAATCGTTCTGCAAACGCAAACACGGGGATATCCTAGATCGGAGATAGCCCATGTTGTGTCCTGTAAGTGTCGTTGGGACTCCAACTCCCATCACTCCCAGCCAGCAGAGCCCAATGCTTAGGGATGGGAGCTGTAGTATAGCAACATCTGGGCATAGGTGTCTACAGGGCGGCGATAATTTTATTTATTTATTGTGTCTATCTTGCCCAGAGGCTCAAGGAGGTGGTGTGCAGAGTTCTCCGCCTCCTCTAATCCCCACAATGACCCTGTGAGGTAGGCATGGTGGCTGCTCCTCCTTTACCACCACCTGAGGCAACTGACAGTGGCCCAGGGAAGCCCTGGCATGCTGAAGGTAAAAAGGTAAAGGGACCCCTGACCATTAGGTCCAGTCGTGGCTGACTCTGGGGTTGCAGCACTCATCTCGCTTTATTGGCCAAGGGAGCCGGCGTACAGCTTCCGGGTCATGTGGCCAGCCTGACTAAGCCGCTTCTGGCGAACTAGAGCAGCGCACAGAAACACCGTTTACCTTCCTGCCGGAGCGGTACCTACCGGTATTTATCTACTTGCACTTTGATGTGCTTTCGAACTGCTAGGTTGGCAGGAGCAGGGACTGAGCAACGGGAGCTCGCCCCGTCGCAGGGATTCAAACCGCCGACCTTCTGCTTCTGATCAGCAAGTCCTGGGTGCTGTGGTTTAACCCACAGCGCTACCCACGTCCCTATGCTGAAGGGAGCAAGGGAGAAAAAAATGAGGTTGGAGAGGAACAAGGGGTGATGGAGAAAGAGGGCAACAAACATAGGAGGCAGCAAGCAGCACACTTGTGGGGCTGGACTGCCACCTTTCCCAGCTGCCCCCCCCCAGCCTGTCACCTGAGGTGACTGCCTCACCCAGCCACAGAGGCAGTCTGGCCATGGAGCCAGAGGTTTTCAACCTTTTTGGGTCCATGGCTCCCTTGACCAATTACGTATTTCTGCGGCACCCCTGTGGGGCTCAGGAGCCCATTTGTGTCACCTCTTGCCTGTAGAGCTGGCAGCCTCTCACCCCTTTTTGAATCCTCCCTTGTGGAGTGTTGCCTCAGCCTCCTCTCTTCTCCCCTCTCCTTGGGAGTCCTCTGGGCAGCTACAGCTGCCACCTTTTGTCTTTGAGCTGCGCCCGCCCTGCCCCTAAAGAGAGGTGGCTTCTCACAGTGCCCTACAGGGGCCTGGGAAACACCCCCTGGCTAGCCCCAGAGGCGTTATTCGCCTGGGGAGCTTGTAGCCAGGCTGCTGCAACAAACAGCTGTGCAAGCCTTTGGGAGGCAGAGACTCCAGAGGGCATCCGAGGAGGGAGGGAAGGAAAGAGGGACAGAGGCCAGTGTTGCCCACAGCACCTCTGAGCATCATTCAAGGCACCCCAGGGTGCCACGGCACACTGGTTGAAAACCACTGGGCTAGGCTGAGCTGAAGTGACTGACCCACGGTCACCCAGAGAGCTTCATGGCCAAGTGGTGATTTGAACCATCTCCCAGTCAAACACTCTAATCCAGTGCTTCTCAAACTTTTCAGTGACCAACCCCCACTTTCAGAATAAAAATATGTCAAAACTGGTCACTCAAAACATCTCTCTGCTCAATTAAAAACAGCATTGTGTGTTCTTTATAGTCTGTTCTTTATATTTTATACTACCATGAAAAGTTTAAATGTTTCTTTGACTGCCCTTGAATATTCCCACCACACTTGCCACCCTTTCCTGCCACACCAGTGTGGTGTGCCACACCCTTTTGAGAACCACTGCACTAACCACTAGGCCACGCTGGTTCTGGTGCACGGCTACCTCACTCATCCCTGGCCAGAGCTGGCAGGGGGAGAGGGAGCTAGTCTCATGGTCAACGTCTCTTGCAAGGCTGTTATGGCAAAGTGGTAACTTAAGTATTATTATTTTTAACATTTGGTTTGTTCAGTTGCCTGCTGGGACCTAGACCTGAAAGGTGGTCTAGGTAGACGGAAATAGGTAAACTTTAGCAATATATTCTGTTGATTATTAATCGAGAGCTGGCAGCTGCCCTGGAGAGGCATTTCGTGTTCTAGCACATTCCATGCATCTGCAGGCCCCAAATATGAGCTGAAGTGTAAACAGGAGAACAATTGGCGCCGGAGTGGTGTGCTATGACATTTCAAGCCTTGAGAAATCAGGAGAGAGCAACGTTGCTAAGAAAGCGATACATTGGTACCTTGGGTTACATATGCTTCAGGTTACATACGCTTCAGGTTACAGACTCCGCTAACCCAGAAATAGTACCTCAGGTTAAGAACTTTGCTTCAGGATGAGAACAGAAACCGTGCTCCAGTGGCGCGGCGGCAGCAGGAGGCCCCATTAGCTAAAGTGGTGCTTCAGGTTAAAAACAGTTTCAGGTTAAGAACGGACCTCCAGAACGAATTAAGTTCTTAACCCCGAGGTACCACTGTAGTAGATTTGGAAACATTTCTGGTGGCAGCATACGTTTAGGCTCCAACTCCCATCATCCCCAGCCAGCATGGCCAGTAATCAGGGCTGCTGGGAGTTGTAGTCTGAGAACTTCTGGAGGGTACTAAAAAGGGGAAGATTAGAGAGAAGCAAAGGGAGATTGGAGGACAATAGTACTATCAAGATGGAGACACACACAGAGATTGAGATTGAGAGAAGCCCAGTGAAATTTTGAGGGTACACTGATAGCAGAGAATCTAAATCAGGGTTTCCCCAACTAGAGTCTCCAGCTGTTTTGGGGCTACAACTCCTATCATCCCTAGCTAGCAGGATCAGTGGTCAGGGATGTGGATCCCCAGAGCCAGGGACAAACTTTGGGCCTCCAGCCAGGTCTCCCTGTATGACCCTTGCAATGCCACCGAGGCCACACCCCTTCTCCCAGGCCACACCCCTCACTGGTTTTGCTACATGCCCTCTTCAACTGCTTTTCCACGACTAGTATGTGTATTTGAACCGTGATGCCTCCTGTCTGGCATATTTCCAATGTGATCTGCCCAGATGGGGATATTCTCACATTCAGGGGTTTTTCCCCTATTTTAAATGCCTTCAATTTTCAGGACCCAATATAATTCCTGATCAGGAAGGGCTTTGGCCCACTTGGTGAAATAAATGTGAATTTCCTGACAGCTACAGAAACTGATCAGACAACAGAATTGTCTCTCCCTCGGGACACTCAGCCCTCTTGCCAGGTGGTTATTTTTGTGTTCCATAGGCTCTGGAATGAAACTGAAACTTCTCCCACCCCTTAGAAGCTGAAATAGGGAGCCTCCCAACTCATGAGAACGTAACAGCCCTGCTGGATGAGACCAAAGGCCCATGTAGTCCAGCATCCTGTTCTCAGGGGGCCAACCAGATTCCCCTGGGAAGCCCGCGAGCAAGACCTGAGCATAACAGCACTCTTCCCACCTGCAATTCCTGGCAACTGCCATTCAGAGGCACACGGCCTCCCATCTCCCCTTGGCTCCAGCCAGCGTAGCCAAAAGAAATGGGAGTCCAGCACCATCTGGAGGGCCATGGTTTCCAATCCCAAGTTTAGGCCACAGACATTTAAAGCACTCTTATTCCACTTTGGCAGCCACGGTTTCCCCCAAAGAATCCTGGAAACTACTAAGGGTGCTGACTGAGAGTTGTTAGAGATTCCCCTCACAGCTACAATTCCCAGAGTTCCCTGGGAAAAGGGACCTATTTTTAAAGCCACTCTGGGAATCTGAGGCCTGCGAGGAGAATTAGGGGCCTCCTAAAAGCTTTCAGCACCCTTCACAAACTAGAGTTCCAAGGATTTTTTGTGGCGAAACCGTTCAATTGCTTTAAAGGCCTGGTGCAGATGAGGCCTTACATCGAGCAGCCATTCAGCTTCTCTTCCGTATGGCTTCTCTTGTGCGTAACAAGGGATGGTTTCCGACAGAAGCTTTTCCCGCACTCCAAGCACCTGTATGGCTTCTCCCCAGTATGTACTCTTTCATGTATTGCCAGGTAAGCACCAGTGCTGAAACCTTTGCCGCAAACAGTGCATTTGTACGGTCTTTCTCCCACGTGAGTCCTCTTGTGCCTAACCAGAGATTGTTTCCGGCTGAAACTCTTCCCACAGTCCAAGCATTCATAGAGATTCTTCCCCATGTGCATGCCCTCGTGTTTCACAAGTGACCCTTTCTGACCGAAGGCTTTCCCGCACACCAAGCACTCATATGGTTTCTCTCCGGTGTGCGTCCCCTCGTGCCGGATGAGATCTGATTTCTGGATGAACCGGTTCTTGCACCGTGAGCACTGATAGGGTTTCTCACCCGTGTGGGCCCTGATGTGCCTCAGCAGGCAAGAGCTATCTCGGTAGCTCTTGCCACACTCAGGGCATTCGTAAGGCTTCTCTCCCGTGTGGGTTCTCTTGTGTTTAATAAGGGACGGCTTCTGAGTGAAGCGTTTCCCGCACTCGGTGCACGTGAAAGGGCTCTCCCCGGTGTGCACCCGAACATGCCTCTTCAGATGTGAGCTAGTGCCGAAAGTCTTTCCACAGTGAGTGCAGTCGAAGGGTTTCTCCCCAGTGTGGATTCTCGTATGTGCTCGGAGGTGAGAGTTGCTGTGGAAACTTTTCCCACAGTGCGAGCATTCGTATGGCTTGTCATCCATGTGAGCCACAGTGTGCTTCCTAAAGTCTCCTCTCTCTGCAAAGCTTTCCCCGCAATCTGAACATTTGTAGGGCCTCTCTCCCGCGTGGACTCTCTGGTGTATAATTAAAGATGAACTCTCGTTGAAACTTCTCCCGCAGTAAATACATGCATAAGGCTTGCCCTCCCTTTCTACTTCCATACTTTCAAGGGAGTCAGTGTTTTGGCGGAGATTTCTGCTGCCCTCAGTGGCTCTCATTTTCCTCCTATGCCTGCTGTGGCTTCCATTTTGGAAGGTACTTTGAGACAGTCCTCTATCACCCCTCTCACAGAAAGAGACCTCTTCGGTTGCCTTCTCTGGATGCTTCCCACAGTGTTCTTCTGGGTCCAACTGACATCCAGGGGTCTCTTCTGGCTCAGCAATCTGGAAGTCTCTCTCTTGGGTTGTGCTCAACCATCTTCTTCCAAGGCTTGAGAGTTCGGATTCTTCTGTCTCCTCATTCTTCCACACTAGAAATGAAAAGAGTCTTTATTTCATTTGTGTGCTTTAGTTAGCCAGTTGTGGCATCCGCCCTTCAGATGTCAAGGAAATAAATAACTATCTAACTTTTAGAAGACATCCGAAGGCAGCCTGTTTAGGGAAGTTTTTAATGTCTGATGTTTTATTGAATTTTTAATATTTTGTTGGAAGCTGCCCAGAGTGGCTAGGAAAACCCAGCCAGATGGGTGGGGTAAAAATAATAATTGTTGTTGTTGTTATATTGAACCTCGCAACTGGACGACTACAATGGGGGTTTCCCTTGTGGCTGGTCCAGAAGCTGTGGCCAGGTTATTGAGAGGAGAAATTGGACATGCACATATTACACCTTTACTGGGGGAATAGCACTGGTTGCTGTTACTTTGTCCTGAAGAATCTGTGTCAGAACCAGGCCTGAAACACCCAAAACAGGGATGCGGAACCAGCTGCCTTCCAGAACTTGCTGGACTCCAACTCCCTTCATCCCTGGTCACTGGCTACAGTGGCTGCGGCAGAAGGGAGCTGGAGACCCAACAGCATTTGGAAGGCCACAGCAGGTTCCCTTCCTCTGGGCTCAACTGTTCAGACAGTAACACTTACCTAGTAAGTTGGCCTTCCTGTCAGCTTCCTGCTCGACTTCCATGGTGGGTTCCACCTTCGCTATGTGTAATGGTACCTGCTTTGACTTGGGGAGACTAACAACCACATCGTTTAAAGGCTTGGGTCCCTGAAAACAGTAAGAGGAGAATGCTATCACCATCAGATAGAATCACAGAATTATAGAGTTGGAAGGGACCTCCTCCTGTAGTCCAATGCAGGAATCTCCGCTAAAGCATCAATGATAGATGGCCAGCCAACGTCTGCTTAAAAACCTCCAAGGAAGGAGTCTCTGCAAGCTCATAAAGAGCACAGATCACGTGAAATTCAAAGGTTGCCAGTCATGGAACTCCCAATACGCTAAGTCTAGTGCTGTCTCTCATGCCAACAGAAGGAGGCGATTTGATCCTGCAGAGGCATCTGTCAACAGAACAAGGAAGGCAATCGTTTGCTGATTCTCCTCATCCCACCACCCCACACAGCAGCTCCCTCCCATACTGTTCCAAAGGGCACACCAACCCTCTGGAATTGATTTTGGGGGTGGCATGCGGGGGACTACAGGGAGGGAAGGGATGTCACAAGCCCCACTATGCATTAGAGGTGCTATTAGACAGGTCCTTTTGTCAGGGACTGGGCAGAGGAGGAATGATGGAGACCACCTCCCCAGCCTGACCCTTCCAGAGAAGAAGACAGTTCAGAATTACAACAGGGGTCTGAGGGAGGTCACAGCTCAGAGGAAGATAAGGGGGAAAGTTGGGGAATAATGGGAGAGGCAGAGGAGGCAGAGCTGGCTGACACATTATCACTAGAAAGCATTCCAGACCCACCATCTCCCAGAACCCAGCAAGCCTTAAAAGTAGGAGAGCAAAGGGCTCAGAAGAAACGGCCCTTAGCGCCACCTGTAAAAGAGATGAGGAATGAGGAAGAGGGAGGAAAAGGGGAAGGAAAGTCACTCAGGACAACACCAACAGGCTGCATTCCCAAGCCTCTCTTTGTAAATATTGAATAAAAGCAGATGGTAAGGACTTTCCCTTGTCTTATCCATTCCTGGCAACCTGCCGTAGGGGTTGGTTCCTGTGACTCCTGGCACCAAAACTGCAGAGCCTCCCTACCAGGGAAATTAGCCACACTTTATCTCTTGTAGAAGCAGCCACTTAAGGCACATCTAAGAACATAAGAAGAGTCCTATCTCCCCCCGCCCCCCGTGAATTCTAGCAATTCAGAATACACACGGCCTCTGACAATAGCGGTATCACAGCTAGCACCAGAATCTGTCTGGTAAGAAATGAGGCCGACCAGTGTGGGAAGAGAGCTGCTGTGCTCATAATCTGCTTGTGGGATTCCCAGAAGTATCTGCAGGGCCACTGTGAGCACAAAAGCCAGAGGCCTGTAATAAAATTCAGGACTTTGGCCTGATTCAGGAGGGGTCTTACGAGCGGGTCCACCAGAGAACATTTGACCAAGAGCCCTCTCAAACCAGGAGACAGCCCTGATCATGCCCAACACTGCGTACCTGGCGAGGTTCCTCAGCCTCCTGGTAGCAGAATTGGATGATGGCACCCTTGTCCACAATCTCTTCCTTCACTTTCACAAGAGAATAGAGGTTTCCTGAGGCTTCTTGGGCTTGACGGAGGCTTGCTTCCTTTCCTTCAGTCCCATGGGTGTCATCAGCTACTGCAACAAGGGAGCCCGGGAATGGCTTCCTATTCTTCCTTGAATGGGGGACCAGTGGAGACTCCATTTTCTTCAAATACGCTTCCCATCGAACATCCCAGTTCCGTAAACGCTCCCCTTGCAGATCCTGCTTAATATGCCGCAGAAGCGGCTGAGTCACAAATTCCCCTCTGGTCCCAGCTGTCAGGAAATGAGACTCTTTGCCTTCAAGCTCTTTTGAGTTCCGGCCCTGCAGGGTCCTGGCCCTCCATTTTTATTTCTCACTCTACCTCCAGCTGTGGAAAGGGCAAAGCACAAGAAAACCAAACAGTCCCATGTATTAATCAATGCATCAGGATACAACTGGGGCCATAACTCAAGTGATGGAGAAGAGGCCTTGCATGCAAAAGATCGCTGCTAGGAATATCACCTGTCTGAAACCCCGGGGAGTAGCTGCCACTCAGTGTAGACAATAATGAGCAAGATAGACCAATGATCTGACTTGGTCTAAGGCAGCTTCCATCTCCTCGTTCCTCCCAAAAGTGCCCAGGGCAGCAAAAAGCAAAATGGGAAAACATTATAATTAAAAATAAAATAAAATAACAGATTGAAATCATTTAACAATAATTAAAAACACCTAGAAATGTTTAAAAGCAGGCCAATGTCCTTCTAGTTAATTATTTCAAGGTGGCCAGGAACAGTATATTTCAGTCATCAAATGCCTCCTCAAAGTTAATAGTGAGGGAGACAAGTATGCCTCACTAGGGACAATTCCACAAATGTGGAGTTGCCACTGAGAATGCGTTCTCACAGGTTGTGAAGAAATCCTGTGCATTTGAACTTTGTTTTAATGGGTAATGTGTCATGTATTCTGTCAGCTGTATTATAATATACATTGCAATGTGTTTGACGGGGGAAGTCTTCTTTCTGGTCAGGTGAAAGTTGGTTTAATTGTAACTGACACTGGCATTCCTTAACTGACAGCTGAATTTGAATTCTCAGGATGCAAATGAAGGATAGAATGCATGCATACTCTGATTGGTGGTTGCAGCTTTAGAATTCTCAGTTAGATAACATGATTGGCTGGGGTTAGATCAAAGGGGCCAGAAAAGAGTATATATATGTGGCTGGAAGCTGGTCAGAGTTAGTTAATTAGTGCTGGCAGAGAATGGCCAGAAGAAGACAGATGAGGAAGAGAAGGAAGGAAGGCTGAGAGGAAGGCAGAGCCGCTGAAAACTTGCTGGGGGAGGGGAATACCTGAGGCAGTTTAGGATGCTAGGATCTAACATCTGGTATGGGAGCCAAGGGAGATTCCCAGACAGGATAGCAAAAACAGACTTGTGCATCAATAGGTGAGTAGAGAGTTGAAACAGGGGCTTCCACAAAAGCCCTCACTTATACTGTTAGTGAGGTTTAACTGACAATGAGTAAATATAAGGGCAATCTGGCAAAATAATTTTAGTAGGGTAACTGCTTCCTCAAAGCTGTCTTGTTCTCGTGTAAAATAAGCTGTTGGCATTTCATGTGACAGCAACAAAGAGCATGGTCATTTAAAGAGACAGTACCAAATCAAAGTAACCACATAATAAACCTAATTATCTTTGTTAAACATAGTAACTCTATTTGGTTGGCTTCTTACCATGCCTACATCCCACAGTTACCAGGGTTATTGGTAAGTTAAGGAGGTAAAAGGTGTAAGTGCTATTAAATGGTGACAGCAGTAAGGGTTTAGGAAAACCATTGGAGTGGAAGTTGGACTTGGTTAATAACATAAGTTATGAGATACCACTACCCCCCTTCCCACCACACACTTCATCCCCAACGAGGCTACACCTTTGGCAGGGGCCCCCCATGCCGGTGGGAATGGTGCATTCAAAATACTATGCAAAGTGTTAATGCTGTAGAATCTTGTGATGTCATACGTCTGAGGCAGTTTTTTGTTAGTTGTCAACAGTTGAGGGACACTTAACTCTTAGAGCATCAAGTACACTCTGTTATGCTGTTTTTTGTCTGCCTCAGATAACTATTAGTCAGTCTCGAATACATATTCATATGTTTCAGTAACATAGGTATCACCTGCCTGCCTTGTACATTCAATCTGACAAGGGCAAGTACACCAGGTAAAAGTCATATGCTATTTTTAAACTATGCCTTTCATAATTATTTTTGTTGTTGTATTTCTAGGAGGGAAAAGAGAACTATTAAAAAGGATCAGACATCCTAGGGAAAACTTCCTCACAACTGTGTAAAGTATAATTGCCATAATGGCAACCATAGAGTGTAGGAGTGCAAATATCCAGAGTGTGGGGATCAGATGGGATTACTATGAGGAATTATAAAATATGCATCAAGCCATTGTGTCCGCTATGAAAGCATGGCGTTGACTGGGTTCGATTCATCGACAATAATTTCTGATCAAATCCCACAACCCTCTGCATCTCTGGTCATTTCCTCTACTGCCCATTTCTCTTGCTTGACAAGTCACATACACAGCCCAGTTGCTTCGCCAGGCAGGCATCCTGGGCCATAAAGATAGTGGGCAGGTTTCTTTGATGTAGCCTTTCTGATATGTTAATCTTAGGGCCAGGAAACAGATTTTCACATGAAGGTGATAATGATCACTGTCCTCTCGGCCATCCTTCTTATCATGTATGTTGCTTGTTTATCACCTCAAGGGTTGCCAAATGCACTGTGGGGTTTGTTGAAATGCTCAGAGGAAATCTGATTGGTTCTTACGATCACGGTGCAAAAAGTTCTTTTGTGAATAAAACAACCTGGGCCGGAGGGTGGACAGGAATTATTATTATACACACCGTTCCCAGAGTCTTGCTGGTTCAAGCCTCTGTGTGTATTCTTATTAATCAGAGTTCAATCCTTCCTTTACTTTGGGAACACCTCAATAGAGCACCTGCACCCCGGTCCCTGGTGAGATTCTTCCCTTTGCTGCCTATGAGAGTCAAGACATAAGAAGAACCCCGCAGGATCGTCTAGCCCAGAATCCCGTTTTTCCTACAGTGGCCAATTTGGCCCTCAAGAAGCGCAGTGAATCCAGAAGGTTGGCAGTTCGAGCCCACCTAGGGATGGCTGTGGGCAGGATTCCTGCACTGCAGGGGGGAGGGGTCGGACTAGATGACCCTCGGGGTTCCCCTTCCAGCTCTTCTGGTGCATAGATAGCCACACCACTACTAGCAGCCTTGTACTCCGTGACCTCCCCTTTTCCAACCCGTTTTCGATTTGTGACCCATGGCCACATCTCGCCGTGGTACTGAATGCCAGTCTGAAAAGGTCCTTCCCTTCGCCCGTCCGGAACAAGGCTGCATCCATCCTGACCTCTTCCCGGCCCCAAATCTCTGAACTGCGTCCTCTTCTCCCCTCTCCCTTTTCCTGCACAGCCCTAGGCGGAATGAGCGACACGGAGGACGCTCTCCTGGGAACAGCTGCAATGAAAACCCCGGATGGGGAGTGTCTCTTTTCCCCCAAGCTTGCTCAATTTCTCCTGCCCCTGAACCCCGATCTCTCATTCTCCCCCGTTTCAACTCACCTGCTGTTTGCAGCCTTTGCATTGCCGGCCCTTCTAGGAATTGAAACTCCGCGCACACTCGACCGACCCATCGCCCCAAGGAAGGAAAACCCGACAGTCTCCGCTCTACTTGCCAGAAGTCCCACCTTCTACCGGCTCTCCCCTCCATGGGCCTTTCTAGGCTCCAACAGCTCTGTGTGATTATCTCTTTCAGCGTTTACAACAGACCCCCCCCACACACACAATGCACTTTAACTACGCGGTCCTCAGGCAACAGTGTGTAAGGACTCTCCTCTGTGGTTAGCGATGAGACAATGCAAGCCTAGTCCTCTTTACTTGGAAGAAAGGCCACTATGAGGACGCGGGTGGCGCTTGTGGGTTAAACCACAGAGCCTAGGACTTTGCTGATCAGAAGGTCGCGGTTCGAATCCCTGCACGGTGCTCGGTCCCAGCTCCTGCCAACATAGCAGTTCGAAAGCAGTCAAAGTGCAAGTAGATAAATAGGTACCCCTCCAGCGGGAAGGTACAGTGGTGCCTCGCAAGACGAAATTAATTCGTTCCGCGAGTTTTGTCGTCTTGCAATTTTTTTCGTCTTGCGAAGCACGGTGTCGGGAAAGTTTTGGAAAAGCTTCAAAAATCACCAAAGTCTTAAAAAACCTCAAAAAAGGCTACCACACCGCGTGCGATGAGTTGCTCCTCGAAGTCAAGTCGCAACTGTATTAACGGTGTTAAGAAAAAGGAAACAAACTTGCAAGACGTTTCCGTCTTGCGAAGCAAGCCCATAGGGGAAATTGTCTTGCGAAGCAGCTCAAAAAACAAAAAACCCTTTCGTCTTGCGAGTTTTCCGTCTTGCGAGGCATTCGTCTTGCAAGGTACCACTGTAAATGGTGTTTGTGTGCGCTGCTCTGGTTTGCCAGAAGTCGCTTAGTCATGCTGGCCACGACGGCTCCCTCGGCCAATAAAGTGAGATGAGCGTCGCAACCCCAGAGTTGTCCACGACTGGACCTAATGGTCAGGGGTCCCTTTACCTTTAAGGCCACTATGGGTGGCCACCCACTGGGGATTGCTTACTTCCTGCTTTATGCGGGACTGGACCAGATGGCCTTTGGGACATCTTCCTAATCTACAATTCTATGATGTTCATCACCTACAGAGGTTGCTCTGATGGGGGGTGCAGAGTGCATTACTCCGCTTCACACAGCACATTAAACGACGGAATTTGGTCCTGGAAGATGTAATGAAGGCTACCAACTTGGATAGCTTTAAAGGAGGATTAGACAAATTAATGGAGGGAGGAGGAGGCTATAAACAGCTAAAGGGCCAAGAGGGCTGTGTTGCACCACCACAGTATGAGGCAGTGTGCCTTTGAATCCATTTCTGCACACTGTTGGGAGGGGAGTGTACTTTTTGTGCTCAGCTTCCCCCCCCCCTTTTAAGCCACATACAACAAAAACCATAATAACAATAATAACACAATCTGACAATTCAGATTTGAATACACTGATGTACCTATGACTACACCTTTTTAAACAATATTTCCCCACCTCTCTCTCCTCCCTCTACGTCCCGCCACTATCCGCCCTATCGCATAAATATTTGTTCCAGATTTCTTCATATTTATCCATTCTTATTTTGCGTCAACATGCAATTTGTTCATATGTAGCTAATCTGTCCATATTATCAATCTATGTGCTCAATGGAATCTTTTTGCAGCTCTTCCAATTCATCAAAACAAGTTTTTTTGCTTCTAATATAGCACGGTAAATCCCCCTTTTCTTTTTTTTTGACCCCTTGAAATCTCCCACGTTTCCGGAATATAATTTAGAATTAAATTCAATTCCCCTAAATAACAATTTCTTTTTATTACTCTTGCTATAAATATCCTCACCTTGCACCAAAGTGATCTTATCATCGGGCAGTTAATCACCATTAGTACATATGATGATTAAAGTTCGCATTTTTACTCCCACATCTCCAGCAGTTGTCTGCACTTGTTGTTTTCTTCTGGTATAGTTTTGCTGGAGTCCAGTGGGCTCTGAATATTATTTTTTGTTGAATAACTCATAGTCTTAGATCCATAGAGGCTATTTCTGTTGACTCCCATATATCATTTGTTATCTGTACCCCTAACTCTTCACTCCATTTTTGTCTATCATGTTCTAAATCATATTTCTTCCTGTTGAGTAGGGTTTTATATAGTGCAAGTGTAGTTTTTTGTTTTGGTTGAAGAGATTAAATATTGTAGCAGCATGGGTGTTTCCGATGCTGCTATAGCGTCAGGGCCAAACTGCCTTTCCAACATATGTTTCAATTGGATGTATTGCCATTGTGTTTCATTGGTTAATCCATACTTTACTTGCAAAGTCTTATATTCCACAAATTTGTAATTTTCATCAATTAATTGATTCAATGTCAAAATACCTTTTTTCATCCAATTTTGCCAAATTATTACTTTATTTCCAATTTTTAATTTTGGGTTGGCCCATATTGTTAATTTCTTATGCTGATAGGGGTCATCCTTATTATTTTTATTTATATTCATCCAAATTTTTATAGGTGCTGGAGGAAATGGGGGTGTGGCAGGCTGGGAGTGTTGCAAGCGTGGATTTATGTACTTCCCTGTTTTTATATGCAATTTCTCGTTGTACAGTATCTGTTTTTATAATTGCCTTTTCTGTCGCTGTAACCTGCCCTAGGACCTTACGGCGAAGGGCATGTAAGAACACTGACTTCTAGATGAAAAGATGCATAGATCTTCCTGCCCTCTTCCCTCTGCAAAACTCTTTTAGAAAAATTCTTCCTCCTCCTCCTCCTCCTTATTATATTTATTTATTTTTCACTAGCAGGAACTCAAGGCAGTTTATGGATAAAATAGAAACAGCTAAATAGAAGCAGCTAAAAAGACCACAATGTTTAAAAAGCAATTAAACGTTATAGATAGATAGATAGATAGATAGATAGATAGATAGATAGATAGATCTATCTCTCACTCATCCAAGCGGCCAGTAGCCCTGTCTATCTACCATGGATCCCACTTGTATCCAGTTTGTAAGGATACCTAACACAAATGGGCCCATGAGGGGAGAGGTAACAGAGGATGTAGCTCTGTGGTTAGAACACCAAGGTACCAGGTTCATTTGCCAGCATCTGCCCAAGTAGGGTGGAGAGCCCCATTTGGAGAGCCACTACCAGTCAGAATAGAATCACTCTCAGATACCACTGTATCACTGCTGCCAATGCTCCCTGCCTGCCTCAGTTTTTAAATTACTATCATTATTATTGATAAATATTGCCCTTTTGGCATTTTATCCTTCGTTTTGTTGAGGGCCCTCCCTTCCTCTCTGCGTGTGACATTTTTTTGTATCCAGGTTTTGGAGTGTTTGAAGGGTGGTGGTGCCTGAGCATCTCCAGTTTTCTTTTAGGACATATGTATTTTGTGCTGCCGTAGCAGTTCCTTGTGATTTCCAAATGCGCCTCTGGGCCCAAAAAAAATCTAAAATATTTTGCAGTGCCTGTCAAATGTATGACTATCTTGCTTCTTAAACAGAAGTCATGGCTGTGTCTGAGGTGCAATGAGTTCCTGACTCTCCAGGAACATGTTTGTTGCCTTGAGGCAACAACTCTTAGCCAAAAAAGCTAAGAGAGGGTGAGAGGTTGATATATAAGGCCTTCTGGGGTGTTATAGCTGTGTCCCACTCTCATGATTATAGCTCCCCACTGTCAGGGAGAACGAGCATCTCAGAGAAGAGTGGTGTTCTCAGGAATTTCACATACACACCCATGGGGTCGGAACTGGTGGTGACATACCACAAATGAGACCTTCGGGCCTAGTAAAAAGCTTGATGAAGTTGTTGATCCTGTGTGTGGTGCCTGTGAGAAAGGCAAATTCCATGCTAAGAGTTCACTAGGAAAAGGATTGGAAATGAACTCCAGGTATCATAATGCCGTTATGCAAATTGATGATTGGACAGCATTTGGAATCCTGTGTACAGTTCTTGTTGGCTCACCCCAAAAAGGATATTGTAGAGTTGGAAAAAGCTTCAGAAAAGGGCCACCAAAATGATTGAGGGAATGGAGTGAGCCCCGCTTCCCAGGAAGAAAGGTTGGGACTTTTTAGTTTAGAGAGCAGGTGAGAAAGAGGCAACATGATAGAAGTTTAAAAATGATGCATGGCATGGAGAAGGTGAATAGAGAAAAGCTTCTGCCTTGTAACCCTAGAACTTGAACCTCATGATTGGAAGATTCAGGACAGATAAGAGAAAGTACCTATTCACACGGCGCATAGTTAACCTATGGAACTCCCTCCCACAGGAGGCAGTGATGGCCACTGTCTTAAATGGTTTTAAAAGAAGATTAGACAAATTCATGGAGGAAGGGGATCCCTAGGGCTGTTATTGTGGCTGTGCTCTGTCTCCACAGTTGGAAAAACACTGAACACCAGTTGGGGGAAACCACAGGAGAGTGCTCTTCTCAAATCCTGCTTGCTGGTTTTCCACAGGCATCTTGTCAGCCACTGTGAGGGCAAGATGCTGAACTAGATGGCCCACTGGCCTGATCCTGCAGGCATTTCATATGTTCTTTTTTTTACTCTGGATTTAATAACAGGGGCTAGATGACAATGAGCATTTGTCCTGATTTGCCTCATTAATGTCTTCCTGTTAATGATTCAATCCCACAATTTTCAGCGCCTTTCCTCTTCACTTTCCTAACTCACCAAAGTCTCTTTCTTAAAATTTAAAGACATGGGTTTCCTGTTCTCGGGCACCAGAGTGCTTAAATCCACTTTCATTGTGCAAACCTAAATTTACTGTAGGCAGTTGGATCCCTCCCCCCAAAGAGTGACACACTGGATGCATCTGGGTAAACAGCTGTGTTATCTTTGCAACGTAAATGAGCAATGTCTTCCATCTGCACCCTCCCTCTCTGTATCCTCCGTCTAGGCAAGCAAGAGTCATGGTCAGAGTTCAAGGACACGTGAAAACACTCAAGGAAAATGCAGAGCAGGGTCTGTAACAAGTGCGGCTGGAGAGGGTGAATGTTCCAAGGGCTAGGCATAAAGTCTTGAAGAGCCACTCTGCTGGGGTTGTCCAACCCCTGGTAACAAGAAGGGTTAGCGTTATGAAGATTTCCCCCCTTCAGTAGAAGAGTGCTTGGGTTTTCCACAGTGTTCTCACAACTGATCTTAAACACTCCATCCATTTCCACATCCAGAATGGTCCTGATTCCCAAATCTCTCACCCATTTCCCCCGCCAACCAATACACTTCTTCACATCAAGCTACTGTTTGGATGTTTTGGAGCACTCTGAATTCTACCTCAGGAAACAATATCCTAAGCAATTTGGGACCGAAAAGGATTGCTGTCAACAAGAAAAGGAGGTGTGTGTGTATATATATATATGGGTATACAGTACAGTAGTGGAATTTTCCCACCATTCTTATTAAAATATGTTGTATCAAGAACATTTCTAAACTAGGACTTGGAACAGAATTTTAAGAGCTGGGGTCGACAATTACTACCAGTTTTGCAATTCTACTACTGTTTTCAGCAACTGTACCAGACTCTTTGGAAATTACACCATTGGGAGATATGTATGGGAAATTCCAGGTTAGCCAGGGCAAAGGATACATTCCTTTCTCCAGCATAGATTCTCTGACTTCTAATAACACACAACCCAGGGCTGAAGCTGCTCCTCCAATGAGGGTTTCTCTTCTTCCCCACTTTCCTTTAGATCCTCCCCCCCCCACCAAAAATCACATTTATTGACATTCAGCCAGGAACACTTTCTGCGATTTCCACAGCTGGAGCCTTATTACCACAACCAGTCTGTGTGGATTCTTTCATGTCCTAAGACAGAAGACGTAGCACTCAGGCTGCGCATTTGTAAGTTTTCACCTTTGTGTGGATTCTCTCATGCTTAATAAGATTTGACCGCCAGCTGAAACACTTCCCACAGTGGGAGCATTTATATGGCTTCTCCCCTGTGTGGATTTGCTGGTGCTGGAGGAGATCGGAGCCCCGGCCAAAACATTTCCCGCACTCAGAGCATTTATATGGCTTCCCTCTTTTGAGGATTCTCTGATGTCGTAGAAGGTCAGAGCGGTGCCCAAAGCTCTTCCCACAGTCAGAACATTTGTACGGTTTCTCTCCTGTGTGGGTGCGCTCGTGTGCCAGGAGACCCGAGCTCTGGCTGAAGCTCTTCCCACACTCTGCGCACGTGTATGGTTTCTCCCCCGTGTGGGTTCTCAAATGTCTAACGAGAGCTGTGCGTTCGCAGAAGCTTTTCCCGCACTCGGTGCACCGGTACGGCTTCTCTCCAGTATGGGTCCTCTCATGGGCCAAAAGGCCCGAGCTCTGGCTGAAACTCTTCCCACATTCTGTGCATTTGTACGGCTTCTCTCCCGTGTGGGTCCTCTCGTGTGCCGAAAGGCCCGACCTCCGGTGAAAGTTCTTCCCGCAGTCCGGGCAGGTGAAGGGTTTCTCACCGGTGTGGGACCTCTCATGGGCCACGAGGGCTGAGCTCTGGCTGAAGCATTTCCCGCACTCCCCACATTTGTATGGCTTCTCCCCTGTGTGGATCCTCTCATGCGTGATTAGGTGGGACTTCCGGCTGAAGCTCTTGCCGCACTCTGCGCAGTCGTAGGGCTTCTCCCCTGTGTGGGTTCTCTCGTGTGCAATGAGGTGGGACTTCCGGCTGAAACTTTTGCCACACTCTGGGCAGCCGTACGGTTTCTCTCCAGTGTGAAGTCTCCGGTGCCTGTACAAGCTCGAGCTCTGCTTGAAGGTTTTCCCACAGTCCATGCACATCTTCAACCCCCCATAGTTGTAGATCCTTGCCCGGATCCTGGGCTCTTTCAGATCCCAGGGGTCCTGGTCATAAGGCGGAATAGGGATGTCCTTCTGTTTCTTGTGGCCATCTGAGCCCTGGCGGCTTCCAGATGTTTCTCCCGTCTCAAGGATGTCCCAGTTGTCTCCTCCAAGAGATGCGCTGTCTGCCTCAGAATCTTCCTGCACAAGGTTGTCGTCCTCCTCTGTCTCACTCACCTTTCCATCACCTGCTGAGAGAAGCAGAAAACCTTGAAGTGATGAATCCAACCCTTGAGCTTTGTGGTGTTGCAGCTAATGAAACTTTCAGGCATGGAATTAAATAAATCCTTACCGAGTGAAACCGTGTCCTCATCTTCCTGCTTTAAGCTCTGCTCCTGCTCAGTGTCTGAGGGAGGCAGCTCAGTATCAGAAAGGTCTGTGACCAATGCCTGCAGTTAAACATTAATAAATATGAGTCAGAAAGGAGCAGAAAGGTTTAGAAACAGAAAGGTGTCTCATGTGGTTTTTTTTAAAGGCAACTTTTTACATGAATAATTGTGACCCCAAATGATATTAGCCCTCCGAAAAAAACCTATTGTATCAAAGCAGCTGAGGAGAGCCAAGCTAGTCAGAATAGGCCGAAGCCTGCTGAAGTGGTGGAGGCTAAAGTGGCACATTGCTATGCTATTAAACAAGACAATCTTCTTTTGAAAAATGCTGGGGGAAACATTTGGATTGGAGGGAGGAGATTTCTAGGGTTAAAAGATACAGGTTCGCAAGTCACTATTGTCCACCCAGAGATAATCTGTCCCACCAAAATAATTCCAGGAAAAGTTATGCGATTAAAAGGAATTTTGAAACACCCTGAGGTATTACCAGTTGCAGAAATCCATGTTAAGTTCCAAGATTGGTCAAGTAAGTGGCAGGTTGCTATTTCTGCAGAGATTCCTACTGCTGTGCTGATCGGATGGGATCTCTTAGACTTAGAGCATGTACAGAGTTCTTTTGTAGTTACTCGCTCAAAGGGAGGTAAACAGTCACCCGATGCTGAGGGGAATGCTACTGTTGCCAAAGGAAACAGATCTCTGAGGGGAGAAATGAAGCCCTGCTGGTTCCTTTTATAAAAAACCAAAAACATAAGTTTTGCCCAAGAACAGAAAGAAGATGCTGATTTAGTTAATTGTTTTGAGGCAGCCAAATCTGACGTGCCTTTAACCCCTGAAAGTCCTGAGCAATCCTGTCTAAGCAATGGACTGTTATATAGAGAAGTCCTTGACTTGCACTCATTATGGTCTTAGGGCAGTCACACACAATCCCAGTTTCAATACAGTACAGTGAAAGTTTGGGACAGGCATGCTTCTTCGTTTCCAATCAGTCCTGTAGCTTCCTGCTGAACTCCTGTAAGTTTTTATACCACATATGTTCCAGTGTGGGTTTCTGGGTCCCACTTTTTACAGTGCAAGAGCCCCGCTCCACACAGCAATAATGCAGTAACATTGTGGAAGGATCACAGAACAGTTTATAAAGCAGAACGATGGATGGTCCAGTATGAATCCATCACTAATACACCATTTTTACATCAATGGGCACACCCACACTACAGATTTCAAGAGCTTTTACAGTCAGTCCTCTCTCCAAAGGAACTCTGGAAATTGTAGTTCTGTGAGGGGGATCAGAGGGGTTTCTCCTAACAATTCTCAACACCCTTATAACAATACAGTAATTTATTACTTATATATCGCCCATCCAACTGGGTTACCCCTGCCTTAACAAACTACAATTCCCAGGAGTCTTTAGGGGAAACCCTGACAATTAGAGTAGTATAAAAGTGCTATAAATATATAGTGTGGGTAAGTCCAATGACATATTACAGAATACACTTGCCCCCCTCCCCACCAAAAAAAATCCCCACCAATTCTTGGTGGGACCCTGATAGAATTTCCCCCCCTCAAAACTTCAGAAACTGCAATGTAGGTGTGAGACAAGCATCCATGGAGAGTGAATTCCTTCCCTCTCACCTGCATGCCCCATCTCTCTTTCTCCTGCTGCCTCAGTAGGAAATCCTCTGCCAGGGCCACAACCTGAGCACAGATCTCTGGCCCTCGATCCTGAACCCAGTTCTCCATTTTGCAGAAAAATCGCTGCGGCGTCACTCAAAAGCGTTCTGAAACAAGCAGGTGAAATTGTTTCTTTTAATTCCACATTGCCCTTTGTCAATAACTGACAGGGGCAGCATCATACAAAAGCGCAAATGAAATGCAAGTGATATATAAATGCAATGGCAAAGACATATTTACAATCATTTAGTAGTATTTTCATGGGATCTTAGATTTTATAGTACCTGCTGTGCGCCACCTTGATATTTTATATGGGTGGACTGTCTACAAACATTTAAACAAATAAATACATATGTATAGATCAGGGCTTGGGTAGCTATGGCCCTCCAGATGTTGCCAGACTACAACTCCCATCATCCCTGGCTTTGCTTGCTGGGACTGATCTGGGGGAGGGCCCCAAGCTCTCCACCCTCCGTCACTGTAAGATATTAAGCCCTGCAAAATAAATAGGTCACACTATATGCAAGGATGCTAAATCCATAAAGATCTCTCTCTCTCTCTCTCTCTCTCTGGATGCAGAATTCATTGTTGAATTTATTATGAAGCCAAATACCAACTAGGGACGGCATCCCAGAGTTACTTCTACTAAGAGCTAGCCTGTTAATTTCGGTGAGAATAATGCAGTTGGGTAGAAAAACCCTTTTGTTTCAGAGCTGGGGATCTAGTCCCCTTCTGCCTCCTCGGTTTGCATTCTGGTGGGTGGCAGGCAGGCAGGAGATGCAGGGTGTTGTTGGCAGTTTCCCCTTTCGCACTGCCTTCTCCTGTGTCATTCCAAATGCCTCCTTTGCAGGGAGATCTTCTCCTTTCCCCCAACCGCCCCTTTCCTCCTCTACCTCCATCAACGCACCTCTTTCTCTTTCCCTGCACCAGCCAGCCGCCGCCTTGGTGATGCAACCTCCTTTTCAAGAAATCTCTGCAGTCCAAATTGCCCAGAGGCTAGCAATATTTATATATATGTATATATATATTTTAAAAAATCCACGAGGGGGTAGGAAGCACCACAAACCACCCAGTTTAATATCAGCTACAGGAAAAGGCCATGGGCAGCTTCCTTCTCAGCTGTCCAGGCCTCTCTGTGCAAATGCAGCTCTGTTGATTTAACCCTTGGGATCTCATTCTCGGGGAAAGAAGGGACAAACGGCTTCAGGCCTCCATTGGGGAGGAAAGGGGAGGGGGTCTTTGCAGCCACACACCCCGATCTCTTGAACGGATGCTGCTGTGGTACTTTTGGCTGCAGGCAGGAGTTAGACCGGTGTAGCTTCTCTCTTTCTCTCTCCCCCCAACGCCTTTCTTTAAAAAAAAAAGTTTTGTGTATTGCACTGCAACACAGAGAGAGATGTATTCATTCAGACAGTAAATACTTGGGCCAATTCAGAAGATTGTAAATATCACAAGGTCAGGGGGAACATCATTCCTTTGAAGAGAGGACATACAATCGCCTTGCAAAAAGTAGAGGTTTTTACCAAGATGCTACCAGTTTAGCACAAGAAATCCACGTCGTTACATTTAAGAGACTTTGGGGAGTTAGGAAAATGAAGGGGAAAGGCAGTGAAAATTATGGGATGGCTGAATCATTAACAGGAAGACATTGGCGAAGCAAATCAGGATGGATGTTCAATAAACAGTTCCATCCAGAGTTGTCTCAAGTTATTTATTTCAAAGTCAGAAATAAGAACATAAGAGCCTGCGGGATCAGGTCAGTGGCTCACCTAGTTCAGCATTTTGCCCTCACAGTGGCTGACAAGATGCCTGTGGGAAACTCACAAGCACGATTTGAGCAGAAGAGACCTCTCCCCTCCTGCAGCTTCCATCAACTGGAGTTCAGAAGAATTACTGCTTTTAACTGTGGAGGCAGAGCACAACCATCATAGCTAACACCCATAGGGAGCCCTCTCCTGCATCAATATGTCTAACCCTCTTTTTAAACCAGTGCTTTTTGTCTGGGGGGATGCATATCCCTAAACATTTTGTAAATCTAAGTTTGGCCTCATTGAGGGGCAGTATTTCAATATGAGTAGGAAAATGAGAGTACCCCTAAACACTTTTTTAGGGGGGAAGCACTGTTTAAACTATTTAGGATAGTGTTCCTCACTGCATCCTGTGGGAGTGAGTTCCAAAGATTAACAATGCACCATGTGAATTTCTACTTCTTTTTGCCTGCCTGCTCCCCCACCTCCCCCCGCAACGCATGTGCGGCTAAATTTCTACTTTCTCTTATCTGTCCTGAATCTTCCAACCTTGAGCTTAATTGGAAGTGTTACAAGGCAGAAACCTTTCTCTATTCACCTTCTCCATACCATGCATAATTTTGACACTTCTATCATGTTGCCTCTTTCTGACCTGTTCTCCAAACTAAAAAGTCCCAACCTTTCTTCATGGGAAGGGGAGCTCACTTCATCCCCTCAATCATTTTGAAGGCCCTTTTCTGAAGCTTTTCCAACTCTACAATATCCTTTTTGGGGTGAGCCAGCCAGAACTGTACACAGGATTCCAAATGTGGTCCCATCATCGATTTGTATCATGGCATTATGGTACCTGGAGTTTATTTGCATTCCCTTTCCTACTGAACCCTAGCACGGAAATAACTTTTTCATGGCCGCCGCACACTAGGTCAATGTCTTTCTTCATTAAAACTATTTACTACGACTCCAAGGTCTCATTCCTGGTCTGTCATCCCATGAGAGTATATGTGAAATTCAGATTTATTTATTTTTGCCTCAACATGCTATCTAGGCGATGGGGAACATCCCCAATCTTTGCGCCAAGTGGGCAATTCACTTTGCTATCTCTATGCCCATCAGACACCCAACTATCGATGTACTTAATGACTGACTCGCCCATTACAAGGGTCCTTCTACACCCACCCACACCCAAGAAGCGTCTTCAGCAGGGGAGGGTGGCCATTCATTCCCCCCCCCAAAAAATAGGATCCTTCTATGGGAATCATAGAATGATAAGAGTTGGAAGGGACCACGAGGACCAACTGGTCCACCTCCCCACCCCCACCCCCGAATGTTTCCCTCTTCCTCAGAACAACACTCTCTTCTACCAGGAGTGGAAAACCTTTGGTGCTTCATATGTAGTCAGACTGGGGAGGGTGAATTTCCCACGGGCCCAGGCATAAAGGCTTGGGAAATAATATACAAGGAATTGAAAATGATATTCAAAATAACTTTTGTAAAACAAACCAGAAGTTTTTCTTTTGGGAATTATAGGGACAGAACTACCTAAACTGTATAGAAATTTATTTATGTATGCTACTATAGCAGCAAGAATGTTACTCGTCCAAAAGTGGAAAGAAACAGAAGTCCCAGCAAAGGAAGAATGGATACAAAAACTTATGGAATATGCAGAAATGGCGAAACTTACCGGAAGAATAACAAATCAAGATCAACAAACTTTTTATAAAAGAATGGAAATGGTTTATTGAATATTTACAGATAAATTGCAATCAGATAAAAACATTAGCAGGATTATTGTAATAACCTGCAGTTTCATAAGAGTATATATTTAAAGAAGATGAGTAAATGAGCAAATTAAATGAATTTGGATATGCAGAAGATACTAAAAAATAAATTTAAGGAACTGCAGAAAGGGGGGGAAGGAAGTCAAACTTCGAAATGTTAAATCAATGTTAATGTAAAACTAATGAAATGTACAAACTTTAAAAGTATAAATAAAAACTAAAAAAAAGGCTTGCAGGGCTACTCTGCCTGGGATTCTCCAACTCTTGGTACAAAGAAGGGTTGGTGTTATTAATATATTCCCGTCCCCTCCAGTGGAAGAGGGCTTTGGGAAATGGGTTCTTCAGAGTGTTATCGGAGGGAGACATTTACAGCTGATCTTAAACATTCAATCTACCCTCACATCTACAATGGCCCTGATTCCAAAATCTCTTGTCCACTTCCCCCTTCCTCCATACACTTAGGAGCAACCGTTTGGATGTTTTTAAGCACTCTGAATTCCACCTCAGGAAACAATATCCTAAGAGATTTGGGACCAAAACGGATTGCGGCCAATGAGAAAAGGAGGTATACAGTCATGGGAAAAAGAAAGTACACCCTCTTTGAATTATGTGTCCTTACATATGAGGACATAATAAAAAACATATGTGCCTTAGTAGGTCTTAAAATCAGGTAAATACAACCTCAGGTGAACAACAGCACGTAATACGACGCATTGTGATTTATTTAACAGAAATAAAGCCAAGATGTAGAAGCCATGTGTGAAAAACGAAGTACACTTTTGATTCAACAGCTTGATTCTCCACCTTTATCAGCAATAACATGAAGTAATTCTCTTCTGTAGGACTTTATCCATCTCTCTCATTGTTGTGGAGGAATTTTGGCCCATTCTTCTTCACAACGTTGCTTCAGCTCATTGAGGTTTGCTGGCATTTGTTTATGAACAGCTCTCTTAAGGTCCCACCACAGCATTTCAATTGGGTCGAGGTCTGGACTTTGAGTGGGCCGTTGCAACACCTTGATTCTTTTCTTTTTCAGCCATTCTACTGAAGATTTACAGGTGTGCTTGGGATCATTGTCCTGTTGCATGACCCAGTTTCGACCAAGCTTTAGCTGTCAGGCAGATGGCCTCACATTTGATTCCAAGATACTTTTGGAGTTCGTGGTCGACTCAATGACTGCAAGGTTCCCAGGTCCTGTGGCTGCAAGCCCAAATCACCACCCCTCCACCACCATGCCTGGCAGTTTGTATGTTGTTTGTGCTGATATGCTGTGTTTGGTTTTCGTCAAACATGGCACTGTGCATTATGGCCAGACATCTCCACTTTGGTCTTGTGTGTCCAAAGGACGTTGTTCCAGAAGTCTGGTGATTTGTTCAGATGCAACTTTGCAAACCTAAGCTGTGCTCCCATGTTCTATTTAGAGGGAAGAGGCTTTCTCCTGACAACCCTTCCAAGCATATTCAGTCTTTTTCTGATTGTACTGTCATGAACTTTAACATTTAACATGCTAACTGAGGCCTGTAGAGCCTGAGATGTAACTCTTGGGTTTTTTGCAATTTCTCTGAGCATTGCACGGTCTGACCTTGGGGTGAATTTGCTGGGACGTCCACTCCTGGGAAGGTTGGCAACTGTCTGGAATGTTTTCCACTTCTGAATAATCTTTCTGATTGTAGAATGATGGACTTTAAATTGTTTGGAGATGGCCTTGTAACCCTTCCCAGTTTTGTGGGCAGCAACAATTGCTTCTCTAAGAGCGTTGCTGATGTCTTTCCTCCTTGGCATTGCAGTAAAACACAAATGTGTGCATTCACAGTTTTCCCCACACTTGGTGCACAGATATGGCTTCTCTCCCGTATGGGTCCCCTCATGGGCCAAAAGACTGGAGCTCTGGCTCAAACTCTTCCCACACTCTGTGCATTTGTACGGCTTCTCTCCCGTGTTCCTCTCATGCACTGAAAGACCCGACCTCCGGTGGAAGTTCTTCCCGCAGTCCAGGCAGGTGAATGGTTTCTTGCCAGTGTGGGACCTCTCATGCACCACGAGGGCTAAGCAGTCAATAGGCTTGTCTCCCTGGTCATAAGGAGGAACAGGGATGTCCTTCTGTTTCCCGTGCCCACCTGAGTCCTGGCGACTTCCAGATGTTTCTACCATCTCATGGATGTCCCAATTGTCTCCTCCAAGGGCTGCTTCGTCTGCGTCAGATTCTTCAAGGCTGAGCTGGTCCTCGTTCTTCTTCTCACTCAGCTTTCCATCACCTGCTGAGAGAAGCAGAAAACCTTGATGTCATGAATCCAACCCTTGAGCTTTGTGGCGTTGCAGCTAATGAAACCTTCAGCCATGGAATTAAATAACAAAGGGCCCCAAAGAACAGAGCTTGGGGTCACCTTTGAAGACTAACTAATTTATTATGACATAAAGCCAAGAACAACTAACATGCCTCCCTCTGGATGTTGTTGAACTCCAGTAACCATCAGCCCCAGTCAACATGGTCAATAGCCTGGGAAGATGAGAACTGAAGCCCAGCAAAAACTGGAGAACCACAAGTTCTGTCCAACCCCTAGACTAGAGCCCAGCAGCACATGCATGGAAGCATCAGCGCAGCACAAAAAGCAGAACTCGCATTAGGAATCTTTCAGAGAGAGATCAAAAAATAAAGCTGCCAATAGCACAATGTAATTATGGTGTAACTACAATTGAAATGCTGTGTATGGTTCCTGTTGCTGCACCTAAATTTTTTTTCATAGAGTCTTGAACAGCCCTATGCCTTCCCTCATGGTGAGGAAAACCTAATAAAAGTTACTGAAAAATAATAAAGCATTGCTGATCATATGAAAATAAAAAGAATGTAACATTAGCTTGTCCAGTTCATGCAGGTTAGCAGATTTCAAGTGTTCTCGGTGCAGTATGCACAGCCCCTGATAAGAGCATCCCTGAACATGTGCAGATTGCTTCTCTCTATATCAAGAATTCCTAAGGAAGGAGTGGGGAACCTTAGGAAATGTGGCTGTCCAGGCCTCTCTATCCAGCCTTGGGAAGTCTCCCACTCTTCTCTGTCCCCACCCCACCAAGGTTTTTACATTGCTGAATGCATCCCTCTACTTGCCTGGTGCAGAGTTAAGAAAAGAATTATCTGCCCCCTGCAGAGTTGGAATGTAGTCTACTACAGAAGATGTAAGGGTTAATTTCACTGATCTGCCCACTTTTGCCTGTGGCCTCACCTAGAGATACCGTATTTTTCACTTCATAAGACACACTTTTTCCCTCCTAAAAAGTAAGGGGAAATGTGTGTGTGTCCTATGGAGCAAATGCAGGCAGGAGGCAGGCTGGAAAAGCCCCTGAGAGCCGTGCACACGCTCCGCGTGGCTCTTGCGAGCTTTTCCCCAAGGAGGGAGAAGGGACTGACGCGGCCAGTCAGTCCCTTCTCCCTCCTCGGGGAAAAGCCCGCAGGAGCCGTGCGCTCTTTAAAGGGTGCGGGGCTCCTGCGGGCTTTTCTACGAGGTGGGGGAATTGCCCTTCTCCCTCCTGGGGAAAAGCCTGCAAGCGCTGCACACATGCTCCACGCGGCTCGTGAAAGGGAGCGCTGAGCAGAGCCTGGGATGCATACAGACTCAGCTCAGCGCTCCCTTTAAAAAAAATTTTTTTTCTTGCATTCCCCTTCTAAAAACTAGGTGCGTCTTATGGTCAGGTGCGTCTTATGGGGCGAAAAATATGGTGTCTCATGAGAGAATGTGGCCCTTGAGCTGAAAAACTTCTCCGCTCCTGTCCTAAGTGGGCACAGTGGAACATCTAGGTAATCTAAAGCTCCATCACCTCTCGTTTTAAAAATTAAGTGCCTGGGGAAAATAAATCCTTACCAAGTGAGACCATGTCCTCATCTTTCTCCTGCTTTCAAGTTCTGCTCCTGCTCAGTGTCTGAGGGAGGCAGCTTGGTATCAGAAAGGTTTGTGGTCACTGCCTGCAGTTAAACATTAAGAATCATGAGTCAGAAAGGAGAAGAAAGGCTTAGAAACAGAAAGGTGTGGGGTGTGTATTTTAAAGACAACCTTTTATAATAAAGAATCGTGACCCCAAAAGACACACTTCTCCCACCTAATGCTATCACAGCATGAATTGAAATACAAAACTGAAAAGCAGGATGGGCCATATTTTTCAATGGAGACTAACATGGCTGCTACTCATAGGTAAATGGAACCTCTAGCTTCAGAGGCAGTACACGACCAGACGTTTTTATTCTGCATTCAATATTATTTGCGCTCATTATGCTATCAGGGCAGTCACATACAAACCCACTTTCAATACAGTACAGTTGTACCTTGGTTCTCAAACACCTTGGTACCTGTACGTTTTGGCTCCCAAACACCGAAAACCCAGAAGTGTTCTGGTTTTCGAATGTTCTTGGGAACCTGAATGTCTGACGCAGCTTCTGCAGCTTCTGACTGAGTGCAGGAAGCGCCTGCAGCCAATTGGAAACTGCGCCTTGGTTTTCGACCGTTTTCAGAAGTCGAACAGAGTTCTGGAATGGATTATATTCAAGAACCAAGGTACAACTGTACTGCAAAAGCTTTGGGGCTTGCATGCCTCTTCACCTGAGCTCCCCATCTTTCATTCTCCTGCTTCCTCAGCAGGAAATCCTTCACCAGGGTCACGACCCGAGCACAGCTCTCCGGGCATCGAACCCAAACCAAATTCTCCATTTCCCAGAGAAAAAGCACTGCAGCCTCACTCAAAAAGTTTTTGAAATAAGCAGGTGGATTTGTTCCATTATAATTTTCCCAAAGAAAGGGAATATTTGTCAAAAGGTTACGGGGCAGCACCATAAAAAACATGAATGAAATTCAAAACAACATATAAGTACAACGACAAAGGCTAGTGTTTTCATGGGAACTTAGGTTTTGTTGTACCTGCTGTGCAGCACTTTGATATTTTATGTGTGTGGACCATTTACAAACATCTTAAACAAATCAGTACAAATGTATGTATAGACCAGAGTCTGGGTAGCTATAGCCCTCCAGATGTCGCCAAACTAAGGTAAAGGTAAAGGTACCCCTGCCCGTACGGGCCAGTCTTGACAGACTCTAGGGTTGTGCGCCCATCTCACTCAAGAGGCCGGGGGCCAGCGCTGTCCGGAGACACTTCCGGGTCACGTGGCCAGCGTGACATCGCTGCTCTGGCGAGCCAGAGCCGCACACGGAAACGCCGTTTACCTTCCCGCTAGTAAGCGGTCCCTATTTATCTACTTGCACCCGGGGGTGCTTTCGAACTGCTAGGTTGGCAGGCGCTGGGACCAAACAACGGGAGCGCACCCCGCCGCGGGGATTCGAACCACCGACCTTTCGATCGGCAAGTCCTAGGCGCTGAGGCTTTTACCCACAGCGCCACCCGCGTCCCTTCGTCGCCAAACTACAACTCCCATAATCCCTGGCTTTGCTGGCTGACCGGCACTGATCTGGAGGAGGGCCCCAGGCTATCCACAGTCATAACCAGAGCAAGCTGCTGGTAGAAGTATGGGAGCCAAGTCCTGCAAAATAGGTTGACCACTGTACATGCAAGGATGCTAAATCTATGAAGAACACACAATACACAGATATTTTTAAAGTGACACTTTAAAGATATACGGTATATGTATTCATGGTTGATTTCTTAACTTGGGGTGGTATCCCACAGTTATTTCTACTGAGAGCTGACCTACTGAAATTAACTGACATGACTCATTTTGGCCTGTTAATTTTGATAAGAATAATTTAGTCGGCCACACGACAATTTGTTTCGATTTCTGAGAGTCAGACTGACATTCCATAATGGTTTATTTATTTCCATCCAAAACATATCCTGAGATTGGGCTTCATTCTGTTTCAGAGCTGGGGATCTAGTCCCCTTCTCCCCCCTCGGTTTGCATTCTGATGGGTGGCAGGCAGGCGGGGAAGGAGATCAGGGTGCTGTTAGCAGTTTTCCCCTTCGCACTGCCGGGTCTTCGCTTCTCTTGTGTCATTTCAGATTCCTCCTCTGCAGGGAGAGCTTCTCCTTTTCCCCAACCGCCCCCTTCCTCCTCCATCTCCATCAACGCACCTCTTTTCTCTCTCTCTTTCCCTGCACCAGCCAGCCGCCGCCTTGGTGATGCAACCTCCTTTTCAAGTAAACTCTGCAGCCCAAACTGCCCAGAGGCTAGCAATATTTATAAATAAATCTATTTTAAAAACCCCACGAAAGGGAAGGAAGCCCCACAAACCACCGAGTTTGCTACCACCTACAGGAAAAGGCGATGGGTAGATTTCTTCCCAGATGTCCAACGCCTCTCTGTAAAAATGCAGCTCTGCCGATTTAACCCTTGGGATCTCATTCTCGGGGGGAAAGGGCATTGCCCAGGGCGGGTTACAGCGATAGAAAATGCAATTATAAACACACATTAACCATTAAAGCGACAAATTACATACAAAAACAGGGAAGTACATAAATCCACGCTTGCAACACTCCCAGCCTGCCACGCCCCCATTTCCTCCAGAAATGGGACAATAAAATAACTATTACGGGCACGTGCAGAGAGCACTTCTTGTCTCAAAGCACACCAGCAACAATGTTTTCACAGCGCAGCCTTGCACCGTCTCCCTTTCGCATCTCCGCAGGGTGACATTCCTCAAAGGGTTAAGGAAACGGCAACCGGTTGCCTAGACAAGACCCGGAAGCGTAGGAATGCTCCGCGCTTCCTGTTCCTGCGCGTCTCGATGGTCCGGGTTTGGGCATCGGAATTGGAGATTAGCCGAGGTTGCCCGCAAAGGTGAGTTGGGAGATGGCGGAGGGGAGAGCGAGAAGTTAATGGAGACGCTTCCTTCGGGCTCTTTGCCTGTTTCTGCTCAGGGTCTGCCCTGCAAGCAGCGCTCCCGGGGGCCTTCTGCTGAGAAAAGCTGGGAAAGGCTCAGAAAAGGGCAGCCAGGATGGATACAAGGGGGTTGGAGCAGTTCCCCAGTGATGAAAGGGTGCAGCATTTGGGGGGCGGAGGGAGTAAATGGAGAGCCGGGAAAGGGGTGCATCAAATTAGGCACGGCGTTTGGGGGGAAGTGGCTCGAGAGACGTTTTACTCCGCCTTTCATGAAACCAGAACTCGGGGCCAAGCAGTGAAGCTGAGCGGTGAGAGATGCAGGACAGACAAAAGGAAGGAGCATGTAATTGAACTATGCAGCATGTAATGAACTATGGAGTTCACTGCCGCAAGAAATAGTGATGGGCACCGAGTTATTATTATTAACAACAATAATAGAATTTATATACCAGCCTATACCTCGGGGTCTCAGGGCAGTTCACAGAATAAAATCAAGATATAAAACCACAAAATACCTAATAAAAAATAAAATCAGCAACCCATTCCCCCCCCCAAACCCCCACATTTTAAAAGGGCATAGGATGTAAATCGGATCAACCAAATGCCTGGTTAAAGAGGATGGATTTAAAAGAGGATTTGGCAAATTCAATGGGGGGGGGTAAGACTATAATCAACACTAAGGACACAGATGACTCTGTTTCAGAGCTCTGAAAGCACCTATGAAGGGCGTGGACAGGGTTGAAGAAGTATGCAACTTGGAGGGAGGGTGTGGCCTGGGGGAGAGACCCAAGGGCCAGACAGGAGGGTATTTGGCCCTCAGGCCTGAGGCTTCCTACCCCTGCTATAGACAGTGAGCGAGATGGGCCGTTTGTGGCTTCTGATGTCCTGTCATTTCAGAAGATGCATTTCAACTTTTGTGTGGCTTTTCTGTGAAGTCGCCTGTCACCCATGATTATGCAAATACTCCCATTAAACAGTTAGAAAATGATTCTGTTCTGAGATGCTGATGTTTGCTCACACCCTGTCTTCCCTTACTAATACACAAAGGGAAGTGTGCAGCTGTGGGAGGGAGAGTCCCAGGCTCATGATATACCAGACTGATAAAATTCATTCTGAAAGGGGAGCTTATAATAGTTTATGTCTTTTAGATACCTTGAATATATGGACTGCCTCTGTTAATCTATGTGTTTACATTAGGACTGATGGACTATTTTTATCATCGGTGCCAGCAACGGTTCATTATCCTTTTCTTTCTTTTTGGTATATTTGCAAAAAGAAATGCTGAAAAATAAAATAAGAAAAGATAGGGGTAGACAAACACAAGCCTTGATACATATGGCTGCTATTCTTGCATCATTGACCACACATACAAACCTCAATTGTAGAGGGACCCTTAGTTTGTATAATTAAAGTGACTTAAAGCACAATCTTGTCCTAGTGCAATAAAAAAAAGAGAAGGAGATTTATAGTGGTTAGGGAAATGAGGAAAATGCACCAAATAGTGTGGGATAAACAAATGATTAACAGGGAGATGTATAAAAAACACTACACAAGCAAATCAGAGAGAATGCTTGCTGTCATATTACTGCCTCACAAACAAATCGGGATGAATGCTCAGTAAATAGGTGGTCTGGAGGAGACCTAACTTATCTTAGGATGCCAAGATTTCGCTATAAGCATACAAAACCTTTCACTCATACAGTCATACCGCTGGTTAAATGTGCTTCAGGTTGAGCGTTTTCAGGTTACGCTCTGCGGTGACCCGGAAGTAATGGAGTGTGTTACTTCCAGGTTTCGCTGCTCACGCATGCGCAGACGCTCAAAATGATGTCACACACATTCATGGAAGTGGTGACCCTTGCACGCACAGACGCAGGTTGCATTCACTTCAGGATGCAAATGGGGCTCCGGAACGGATCCCGTTCGCATCCAGAGGTACCACTGTATTTCAATTTTATTTTATTTTTCCTCAGACGCTGCTGCCAGGAATAAAAATGGAGGAGCAGGACCTGCCAGGACCCAATCCAGCAAAGAGATCAGAAATGAGAGGAAAAGGCTCCCGTGCTGTCCAGACTGGGACTGCCAGGGAGTTTCCAGCTGAGACAACCCCGGGAACAATTAAGCATGAGCTAAACAAGGGGCCCCACCAGAAAACTCCACAGCAGGGGTTCCTGAAGTCCAAATGGTCTATGCGTTCAAGATCAAAACCCTCGCGGCTCTTTCAGTCCCAGCCGCGGTTGGATGATGCTAATGACTTCCAGGCCTCCTTCAAGGCTGTCATTGACACCAGCCGGTGGCCAACAGGAGAGGGTGCGTCCCGCCGAGAAGTCCGTGGGGCCCATCAAAAGCTGGATCCTTTTGTGAAAGTGAAGGAGGAGATTCTGGAGGAGGAAACTCTCAGCTTGGAGATTCGATGTCTTCGCTTCCGGCATTTCGGCTACCAGGAGACCAAGGGGCCCCGAGAGGCCTTGAGACAACTCCGGGAGCTTTGCCGCCAGTGGCTGATGCCTGAGAGGCACACTAAGGAGCAGATCCTGGAGTTGGTGACCTTGGAGCAGTTCCTGACCGTCCTGCCCCTGGAGATGCAGTGCTGGGTCCGGGAATGGGGCCCAGAGACCTGTACCCAAGCGGTGGACCTTGCGGAAGATTTCTTGCTGAAGCCTCGCGAGGCCGAGAGGCCAGAGGAAAAGGTGAACAAAGTTGAGCGAATTGACCTAGGAGTTGTGACAGCTTGGGTCGTCTATGAGTGTGGAAAAGTTGGTGTGGAAATGTGTCTTGGTAAACACAGTTCAATAACACATACTGTGTCCAGAGAGAAAAGCCTTGATAACACTTTACTAAGTATACTGAAGAAAATGGTGTATAATTTGAGGAGAAAGGAAACAGAGGTTTTGTGTTTCAGTTTGGGCCTTGTACAGACTGCAGGGAGACATTCAGTCAAACATACAGTGGTAAAACTCCCTCGGAACTGCACAGCCAACCAGAGCATGTGCTATCTCACTAAAGATAATGCCACTGCCTGTTTGCTAAGTAATAACTCCACTTGTCCCTCTCTTGGCTAGTTGACTTTAATGCTAATCAAATTAACCCTAAATTACAAACAACCCCAGCAAGCATGACCAACAGCCAGGGATGACAGGAGTCTGGAAGACGAAAGGTTCCTCATACCTGATACTACTTTTCAGACATTCCATTCCTATCTTGCTCCAAATTCCATTTTATGTGGAGGAAAATATTTTATGTTATTTAAGCCATTCACTATCAATAGATCTTGAAGCAGTTTACATTGAATTGGTTTACATGTTAAAAAATCCAAGAACATAAGTATAGAATAAAACATTTTCAACAATTTAAGATGAAGAAAATCCAACTACACATAGGTCCCGCTTTCCGAACACAATGTGCTTCCCAGGAAATCATCCTTTAGGTGAACGTTCGCATAATGAGCTGACAATTTTCATTATTTCTTATGGGAGCATTTCTAATGTGTGTTCCCACCATACTTTCTTCCTAAAATGGCTGCAGCCAACCAGCAAAAGAGGGGCAAAGGAAAAACTGATTTGTCTGCTGCTCACTGATTAGTCTGATTTCTTTCGCCATGGTTTCTACTCCAGCAATAGTACAAACAAGCAGGGAAGGGGGCAAACTCCATCTGTTCACATATCTAAATCAGCCAAATGTGCAGCGAAGCTTGGGTATAACTCTCTGTGTAAAGAGAAGTGAATTTTTGCATAATGAGCAGGTGGATGGTGGGTAGGGTTGCCATATTTCAAACTGAAAATCTGGACAGAAAAGCTGTTGAGCTTTTTGGGCAAAATGCCATTTTTGAGCTATGCCAATATGGGTTGCCATATGTCCGGATTTCCCCAGACATTTTCCCGATTTCCACTCGGACACTGCTGCTGACTGCAGTATCCCGGTTATGTCAGGGAAAATCCAGTTGTATGGCAATGCTAATAGTGCAGCCTGAATATACATAAACAGTACAGTGCAATATCTGTATACGCAGCAATAATCGTATCAGTGTTTAATTATTATTATTTTTTTAAGTGTGTGTGTGTATGGACCACCTCTCCCCACATGATCCAACCTAGACTCTGCTTTCATAATCCAAGGCCTGTGTCCAAGAGTCGAAAAACCTATAATTGGAGAATAGACGGAATAGACGGAAAAGCCATCGACCAAGTCTTTAAATTTCAATACTTGGGAGTCCTTCTCCAACACAACATGGGCTGGAAGGTCCATCTTGCATATGTATTAAATAGAGCTAAAGCCCTTTCCTTTGCGCTACTGCGTTTTTTCTTTTCAGATGGGGCTTTCCATATTCCATCAGTGTTAAAAGTTTTCAAGGCAAAGGTGATTGCAACAATAGCATATGCAATCCCAATATGGGGGTCCTTTGTTAATCTAACTCAATTGGAGGTAATCCAAAACCAGCTGCTAAGAAGGTTGCTAAAATTACCCAGGTGTGTAGGCAATACTGCTATACTACTCGAACTAAATGTTACATCTCTAGAAACCACATTATGGAAATGCATCCTCTGTTACTGGTTGACATTATGGCATAAACTTCCAAATCTCCACTTGATACAGTGTCTCTGGAGAGATGACTTCCCTAGCCCTTGGGCAAAAATAATACATGGGAAACTTGTGTCCTTAGGACTATCGCCATCTGAACTACTAAAACTGGATTTAATTTCTGCCAAGAGAATTATAACTCACAAATTAGAGGAGATGGATTTACAATTTAATATTGCGACAGGTGGTGGCACCTGTTTGCCGATAAACCTTGGCTTAACACCACCAATGAAACTTCCATCTTATTTAACTACCTT